CGTTAGAGTCCTGTATTGTTATTTTTCGTCACTACCTCCCCGTGTCGGGAATGGGTAATTTGCGCGCCTGCTGCCTTCCTTGGATGTGGTAGCCGTTTCTCAGGCTCCCTCTCCGGAATCGAACCCTGATTCCCCGTTACCCGTTATCACAAAGGTAGGCACGTAGCGTACCTTCGACAGTTGATAGGGCAGACACTTGAATGATACGTCGTCGGTGCAGAGACCGTACGATCCGCGTGGTTATCCAGAGTCATCAAACGTCACAGGACGAACCCGGTCGGTTTTGATCTGATAAAAGCGCGCCTCCCGAAGTCGGCGCTTAATGCATGTATTAGCTCTAGAATTACCACAGTTATCCACTTCGCTTACGAGACCAAATAAACCAAGACTGATTTAATGAGCCATTCGCAGTTTCGCTTTACGAGAACTCGTACTTGCACCTGCATGGCTTAATCTTTGAGACAAGCATATCACTACTGGCAGGATCAACCAGATAGCTGCGACAGCTGCGCTCGGCCCTTGCTGGGCCGCCCGGCGCGTGCTCGTCGCATTCGTTTAAGACCGAGGCGATCGCCTGCGGCCGTACTCAGCTTCGACAGTCGCTGGCCGCGACGTCCACGCTCTCGCCGGCAGTGCCAGGCGGAGCGATTTGCGTTTTTTCTTTGCTCGCCCTCTCTCGGGCTCGATCCATTCAGTTTCGCACAAACAAGAGCTCTGCCGGCCGCCTGCAGCGGTGCCTAAAACCCGGGCATAACAATGCGACCGTTCTGCTAGGCCGACAAGCGCTCAAGCCAGACGCTCGATCGAACGCCCCCTACATATTAGTCGAGACAACGGCTCGCTCATTAGCATCGCGTTTGTACTTTAACTTTTTTCGGCTCGGCTTCTTTCGACGCCGATGCCGGCGACGCAGCACTCTCTCGCCCGCCAGCCACCGAGAAAAGGGTGCGCTCCGACCGGCCCCCCGCACGCCGCTCTTTCTTGGCTCATTCGAGTTTACTGTCTTTCGCTCTAACATGCCTTACCTAGGGTTAGGTTAGTATGCTTGCACGTTTGTACTTTAACTTTTTTCGGCTCGGCTTCTTTCGACGCCGATGCCGGCGACGCAGCACTCTCTCGCCCGCCAGCCACCGAGAAAGGGTGCGCTCCGACCGGCCCCGCACCGCACGCCGCTCTTTCTTGGCTCATTCGAGTTTACTGTCTTTCGCTCTAACATGCCTTACTTAGAAACACATACCCCACTTTACAGGTACCAACTTTACACCAACTCGCAAAAGCACTCTTAAAATAGCCCCGAAAATTTTGCAATGGTAAAGTATAGGAAGAATTTTCCGGGGGTCAAAGGTCCATTGAAATGGTCAACCTCAATATAAACCTTTTTTAGAAATACTTTTTTGATGTGATACATTTGGTACCATGAATACCATTTGCAAATTAGCTTGGGTAACAGCCCTTTCAAATAAAATTTTAGACTCTTAAGTCATATCTTATACTATTCTTTGAACAAAAGGTTGCGGCTAGCCGGCTACCCAATAGAATTTTCTTTGAGATCCAAAAGTCGCAATATTACGCCTCGCTAAGTTTCCTTTGCAACTGAATTTGGTTGTAGTATTGGTGTCCAACTTTAGACTGAAACCTTCACTACCAGACCCACTGAAACAAAAAAAACTTTCATGATAGGGCCGTATTGGAGTTGCTTTTCCTGTCCACCCAAGTTACTTTGTCATTACGATAAGCATCAATAAATTGATACTGAAGATGTATTATCAAGTCACGCAAGCTGAGGTCTTGTGCCCCTGTGGTCTTGTTGCAACCTATACTTTGCCATCCATCCTTTCCATGGTCGCATCCATCTGTAAGATAATGTATACAGATTCATTCGATATCATGATCCTGCACTAGCTTTGTAATAATTGTAGAGTTTTCATAAAATCTAACGATCATGCGGTGAAATTCATGTCCATATTCCACCACAAACACTTGTCGTGAATGAATTTGATTCCAAGTAGCATATCTTGTTTACCAATGACAATATCAGTTGTACAAGCACCTTTAGGATAGGATTTATTTTGGGGGGGGGTGAAGGTGCAACAACTAAATTACTGGCCACTTGCGATAAACTTTAATTATCTATTCAACTTTTCACACTTAGTAATAGATTACCTGCTAACTAGGGAGACAATACCTATGGCATTTAATGATAAATTCCTTACACAAATCAAGTTTGCAAGTAGGCCTACGCATAGCCCTACTAATAACAGTAGTTTGTCATCTGCTTTCCATTGAAATGAGGGAGTTTATGAATATTTAAAGAAATTGATAACGGCGCATTATCACTCACCATCAACGAAGTGCTGTCCGCAAACAGGGAAACACAAGCGAGATGACTTCTGGACTTGGCACCAAGCAGTCCTGCCGATAGATCCATTTCGTTGTCTATGTTATACATACAGCCAACGGAACAATACGAAATAACCGTTTTCAACAGCTAAACAAAACAGAAACGTATAATCCGACTTGCGACTGACAGGAGGACGTTTTTGTTTTTTTGCCTTCCAGTAAACAAAGTCACGTGACCCGTGCAAGTCCTCTTGCGAAGTCGCCGAGCCGCTCAACAATAAAGTATAAGGGAATAGCGTAGCTTACGGACATCAGCACTGGATTTCGTTTCAGACAGATATTTGTTTAAGTTACAGTAAATCAAATGTTCAATCAAATTGCATAGCCTACTCTCCCTGTACCTAATCCTGCCCAAATATGGGATCAAACATTGTTTTGAAACTACCCGCATATAAGATGCTGTTGGTACAGTTTCAAAATGCCAAGATGAAGACCGAGGATTCCCTGATGTCGTATGCTCAGTGGGAAGTTTCTTTCTGTGGGACAACTGGCTATAAAATAACGAATGCCTGGATACAGGGCGTTATAAAACCGTCTAAAAATAATTTAGAAAGCACTGGTGATACTCTATTGATAGATGATGGTAGTGGTATCTGTGTTGCCACTGGGTTGTCAAAAATACCAAATCTTAAAGACACACAATCTTTGAAGCCAGGAGACAAGGTTCTTGCTGTTGGATATATTTTAAATGCTGGTCAAGGAATGATAGATGAGCAAAAAAAATTATCTGAAGCGAATGTATTCGCTATAATCAAATGTTTTAAAATGATGAATATTTCACAAAATGAAAGCTGTGATGTGGGTGACAAATGGAGATCTGAAGTGTTCGAAGCACAAAATGCTCTTTTGAGAACAATTTCAAATAGCTAGCTGGCTATTCCAAATTTTATATTACTGTATTAGCTATGTGTTCATGGTTGCAGAAGTATACAACTGTACAAGTACTATAGCACCATTGGGTCAAAATACTGGAATAAGAGCACTTTCTCCAGTCAAGATTACTTACCGTAGTTACAATTTCCTAAACTCAAAATTTATTTTGGAATGGAAATAATGTTGCTAGGCTCTTACTAATAAAAACCAGGAAATGTTCTATCCTAAAGACTATTATAAAAATAGCTTTGAATTTGCTGGATATGCCAGATGAAAGAATGGCTCATCCTTGCTTCCTGCACTTTGCTTAAGAAACAGGTCTGAATTTTGTGGAGAATAATTTGGAGGAAAAGACATTGTTTTACTTTACCCAGGATGAATGAGAAAGAAATTAATTATATTTAAATGTACAAATTTAGTCATATTCTTTAAGGACATTGCACAAAAGTATGACATATTGTAAAAAATTATTTTGATTATAAAACACTGCCAACTGTAAAAAATTGCTAGGGGGTGCTGCAGTCATAGATTAGATTTGCCAGCTGTGCACTGTAAGACACATTCCCTTTTTTTCTCAAAAACATTGCTGCGAAGTAAATATTTAGGTTTTAAATAGGATCATCATGGTGTTTATCTAACATTTTTTTATACATAATTTAGGCTTGATAATAACTTGAACATATCATATAAGATATGCCTGTGAATTATTTAAAAGAGAAAGAAAAACTAAAGACAGAGGAAGAGAAGCTTCAAGATGTTAAACAAAAATTGCAAGATCAATTAAGAAGACTTCAAGTAGAGGAATTAGCATTGAGAAGCATGATTTCAACCGATAGAAGTGAAAAAATACGCCCAAAGAAAGCAGGAAAAACGAAGTGAAAGATGTACTGCTGCAGTGATGATTGGATCACGATAGTAATGTTCTTTTCCTACAATATGGAATAATACACAAATTCGATACAAAATTTAATGCCATGAATACAAAATCAAAGTGAACTCTCGTCCAGCAAATAAGAACACAAAATTGTTTCATGTTTGCTTTTTTGTTTTTAAATACTCTTCATAAATTTTATATGCTCTTGCACCAAACACAGACGAAAACAATTTTTTGTCATGAACAATGCATCCACGCAAGCTGTAAAAATAATATTCTGGTTCATTTCGAACTCTCATTTTTAATAATAAATTTCTGCTGTTTTGCTTAATATCTCCCAGTTGGGTAACATGTTCAATTGGAATAATTTTATCAATCCTTTTTCCCCAGAAATCAAGATATGCTATCTTAAGTTTAGTGTTCGACTTATCCAGCCATGCAATGCCAATCAGTCTTCTAGAAAAATGAGAAATTAAAAACAATACAATCACTGCCAGTCCAGCTCCTATAGTCACAGAAGTAGTCACTAAAAAGCTTTGCTGGGAGCCATTTAAGACTGAGTACCACATGGCACCACACCCGGCTAACATAAGTGCAGTTTGCTTGACTTTCATTCGTGAAAATACAGCAATATATCGCATATGATTCAGTTTGTATATTGTTTTGAAATCTCCATGGTCAGTTATAGGCATTGAAGAATCATCTTTGCTAGTTATGGAGTGCCTGCGAATACTTGTAGAAACTGATCGATTCTTGCAGCAATTCAGTATCTCTAACTGAAGGAATCTGTGTCCTAGTAATTTTCTAGTGGGCAGCAACATATCTATTTGTTGGTCACCACACGGCAAATATATCTAAAATTTTATATACACAGTTAGTATCTTCTTTGTGTGTTTGGGGAATTTTTTATTTAACTGCGATTGGTCTGTGGAGAATGTTTGGTACTCCCGTAGTGTGTGTAGCAGGTCAGGCCATAATTTTATTCCCATTTTCCTTTACGAGTTCGGGGAGTGTCTGTCTTAGCAAAGTGAATATACCTGCCCATAGGTTTCAGTCCCTTTACACAACTTGATGTAAAGTAGGCAAACAAAATTAGTAACCTCCATATTGGCACACACACTTCTAGAACGCCAATTCTTTTTTTTCATAAAGTAGGCTATTATTGGGCTATTGATACCGTTATTTAGACAAAAAAAATTTATTCTACCGAATATGAATCAAACTGAACAATGGTTTTCTTGATTTTCCATATTTTACATGCAAAACTGTTTTATGGCCAATGCAGGTTAAAGTCAAGACTAGTACCAAAAGACAATACAACAAATTTTTGTTTAGAAAATCTAAAATATTAAATATTTGAGCATTCCTATACTAGGTCTAAATAGTCACAGAACAGAATAATTCAAACATTGTATTGTGTAATGACTAAACAAATTATCTAAATCATACTGATTTTCTTACTATTACTCTTGCGTACCATTTTGTAAAAATAGCTGAAAAAGTACAGTAAATTATCATATTGTCCTTCATAGCTGCCATTCAGCAACTCGTGGGTAATTTTGAAAAATGAAAAAATCGCTTCTATGGTAGCTAGATAGGTAAATGGCATATCCTGATTATGTCGCCAATAAACTGTTTGAAGATCTCCAAGTTTTACTGTTTTGAGATGCGAAACTCTTTCATCTCGAAAAATACTATATGCCTGGCTCCATGTGCAGTCTATGAAAACAATCTTGGTAAAGCTTTGTAGTTGAGATGTCTCAATATTTGATTTCGAATCAGCCTTGTGTTCACCGTTCTCTTTTGAAACAGTTTCATCTTTGATGGAAATCGCTACTTCAGGTGTCTCAGTTTTGGCCTTTTTTGATGCACATGTATCTTTTACATCTCCCTCACAGCCATGACGCTTGTTGGATTTTCTGAATATCTCCTCCAAAGTACATGCATTTTTTCCAGGAAATACTAATAAAACTTTGGAAATTTTGGAGTAATCAGGTATTGTTGGATATGTGTATATTTTAACATCATCTGGTGCTAATAATGCTGCATGAATTGCTGTACTTTTACCATCTACTTCTTTTGCATGTTTTATAATATCAACTTTCCAAGGAAGTTTTACAGTTGGCAATTTGGAAGTATCAATAGTGTCCACATATGAATGACATATGTAACAGAAAAACATCCTGGATTTTCCACATTTTTTGCACTTGGACCGCTTTAATCCGTCCAATGGCTCATGAGATGAAATCTTGTACAATGAAAATGTATTTTCCGTAGATGTGGATGACATTTTAAATCTATATGTAGTACAGTCTAATTTCTGAATTTCTACTAAAAATGAGTTAGATAATAAGACTAGTTTCATAAAATCTCTGCACGTACTCCAGTACTCTCAAACTTTAGTTGCTAACATTATCCGACAGGAGACTCTTCCTTTTAAAAAAAAGAGACCAATATACATACACTATCAGTAACATTTTATATGTAAAGACTATACAGATATTGGGCAAAACAATAAACTGGTATGGTAACTTACCATACCTCTAATCAAATACCAGTACACTAAAAAATAGACATCTACAGCATTTGATGTAACACGCTACAGGCTACAGCAAGGTAAATTTTGAATATACTATAGTATCAGAGTACCGCATATAGCCTAAGTCAATAAGTACAGAAGTACCGGTAGTAGTTTATAGTATAATTTTTAATTAACAATAAATTTTACAATACTTCCTAATTTCTCTACACTTTATTGCAGCTGATTCTGAAGACCCTTCCCCGCTGAAGAGCCCATGGTAGATGGTACCACAGTTTGTGCCTTCATTTAAATAAGCGTATACCGTACCTACGGTACGGTTTCAGCTTAAAAAATTAACTTCCTCTCTCTTACGTATTTGAGGTTTAATGCATTTTAATTTCGTACTGCAAGGCAGTCTATGTCTACAGGTTCAAATTTACACGATTACCGGTACCGAAAAGTCAATGTGACATACTGTACGCAGTAAAGGGTCAGAAGTGAACTATTTTGACGGCAAGGTAGACGTAGACTAAACTGAAACGTTTTCAAATTACCAGGATCATACGTGCCAGACCGTAAATATACACTACTTGCAATATTCAATACGGGTGCGATTACAGCATTGTGATGTTACTCGCATGGCGTAGAATAAATCTCCCGTAGAGCTCACGTGGTTGAGGGTTTTCCAGTATTTATTTTTTTTTTTTTTTCTTTTGATAAATTAATAATATAAATCATTACATACAGATGAGACAGTATAAATTCCATAACAAATATTGATCATTTGTATCCATATTGTAGCATATCCGTTGTAAATCCCATTTGTTGTCATCATCAATTATATGTTCCATGATGCCATTTACCATTATTTTAATTAATGCATGGAAAAGAAAATTTTAAGAATTAGTTCAACTTCATTACGATATATACTTCTAGTCATATTTATATATATTTGCATAATAAATCAAGTTCTTCACAATAATTAGGTAAATTTCTCAGTCGTTCTATATTTCTCCTACACTTTATTGAATTTCTTATATTATTGACTACATTATTCACTCTTGGCATTACATTTTCAAAAATCACTGCATTTCTTTGCAGCCAAATTTTATATCTTGCAGTACATATCAATAAAATAATAGCATTTTTTTCTATATTGGTCAAATGTACATAATTGTTGTGTCTTAAATCTAATAATATACACGTTTCATAATTTATTAAGTTGCCACTGTTAGTTATTTTCATGATAATAGAAAAAACATAATCATACAATTGTTTCACAAACGAGCAATTCCAGAATAAATGTGTTATAAATTCAGCTTCTTTGTCACAAAATACACATTGGTCATCCTCAGCAATATATTTAATTCTTGACATTGTTTTAAGCGGTAAAATATTCCACAATAATTTGTAGTTAAAAGTTTTTACATAATTAGCGAGAATTTTATTATGAATATTCAAACATGCTGTTCGAATATCCCCATTGTTCAGAAATACAATTCTTTCACTTTTCAAAGTAGCAACAATTTTATCATATAAAGTTCTATGATTCCCCTGCCTTACATCATTTATAGTGATATTATGCACTCTTATGAACTCTAGAATACATTTATAATGCCTATTAGGTTGAATAGAATGATATACACTATTATTTACAGGTAAATTATAACGAACACTTAGATGTTGACCTATATTGAATTCAATTAAATTAAAAACAGTTGTATAGCTTATATTATTACTATTATTTTGTCTCCAATTACAGTATTGAACTGCGCACATTGCATACAGACAGTTAACGAAAATGGGTATGTTTATTATGTCATAACCCCCTGTATTCTTTGCTTTACATAACGTCTCGATTTTTATTCTTGATGGTCCATCAAAAATAAATTTTTCAATCATTTCATTGATTCTCTTTCCAATCTTTGTGGGCATTGGAAACACTCTAGCTAGATATAAGCACAAAGGTAGTAATTTCATTTTTACTATTAAGCATTTACCTTCCAACGTCAGAGGTACAGTGTTAGATAATTCTTCTGTCATTGACTTTACTTTCCTAGCACATATGTCCCAGTTATGTTCACTAGTATCTTTATTGGCAAAAATAACATTCAATACTTGCAATTCATCTACTACTCTTACATTTTGATGAAAATTAGCATTTCTCCATATCCCAATACGTAGTATTTTTGTTTTCTTTAAGTTGAGTTTCATCCCTGTAGCTATTTCGAATCTCTTTATTATTTCCAGGGCTTTATATAGTGAAGTCTTGTTCCTTAGCGTCAAAGTGATGTCATCTGCATATCCAACATATTTGATTTCCTCATTTCTTGGTATTTGTATTCCCTGAATTTCTTTATGTGAATTGATATATATTACCATGGGTTCTATAGCTATTATAAACATGTACATGCTCAGTGGGTCTCCTTGTCTAATGCCTCGTTCAAGTTGAATTGCTTCACTCAGGTATCCATTTAATAAAATTCTTGTTTCTGATGTGCTATATATAGATTTAAGTAGGCTATACTAATTAATTTATTCTTCATTCCAAATTGTTCAAGTGTTCTATACAGGAAATCCTGGTCAATAGTATCAAATGCTTTATTAAAATCCAATGATAGATATAGATTTATTTACAGTTGAAGCACAGTCGCGGGTGAAATTGTTCGAATGCTCCTATGACCTTTAACACCACTTCAAATGTAGGATAGGATAGGATTTACATATTTATCCCGGGGGAGAGGAAAACCGATAAGACGGCTTATCCATATGGCGAACCACGGCCTCTCGTCCGGTTACCATTCCAAGTCGGGTATGGGATTAGTTTTTTACTGTATTGTTTGTTTTCGGAAGCATGGACTTGGTGGTGGAGGAAGCCGTAACCGACCAGCGGTTACGTGAACCACCCAACGACGGCGAGGAGTCCAGCAATCCTCTCGCACATAACCATCCCTGCATGGGATTCGAACCTGCGAACCCACGCAGAGTAATTAGGGGTGCGGTGGCGAGCGTATTCCTAACGCTTAGCCCGTTGAGCCACACCGCCGCGCCAAATGTATGTATATTGTGCTGCGATAAAAATTTTCAACAACACTATTTTGCTATTAAAATATTTTTCTGTCCCATAGGTAGTATTGTAATGTCAAAAAGGTAAATGCAAATGTACTTGTGTTCTATTTCATGATATGTGCCCGGTGGAACAATTACCACGTCGTGGGAGTAGATATTTATTTGGATAAATTTTATTTTATAATACTTGAATTTTTTTTTAGCATACTATATCAACTGAAGGAACACGAAATCTCGTACGACGATTACCCCGCAATTGTAATGAGAAACATTGTCATGATTCTCTAACGTTTTGTTACCGTCTTTTTTATATATGCCAGAATTATATACAAATGAAGAGAACAAAAGATGTCAATTTATTTTTTGATCTTGGAAGATCGTTTCGATTGCTGCTTCAAGGTAAACATATTGCAGATTTTATCTGTATAAAATATACGAATAACCAAACTGAAACAAAATTATGTGTAAAATACCACCAACTATTTTTTTATGAGAAAGAGGAGTGGAGCACGGCTATAAAAGAGCTGTTCAATTTATATGATCTCAAATAAATGTTTTTTGTGACACGTAATGATAATAAAAATGGGACCTCCTGAGAGTGCGCACGAAGATGGCGCACAACCTCAGGTTGTGTACCAGGTTAGGGTTCAGGTTGTGCGACACCTTGGTGCGCATACTTCAGGAGTACCTAAAAATGTGTATGCCTTACGAAGGAAGTATGTTTTCACGGCCCGATATCATTATAATGCTGGGAAGACACACGTCATTGACTTTCAAGAAATTGTAAACAACACCAGTCGAATGCCTTCAAGGTCAATTTACTTCAACGCGATATCTGCAAGAGGAAAAGGATCTGCAAGTGTTTAATAAGTTGCTTTACTTTTTAACAACGTCTTAGCATAACTTAACTAATAATAACTAAACAGGGCTATGAGGCTGCCCAACGCAAGATCGAGCAGTAATAACTAAGATTCATCCGCTCGCTAACAGCTGATTCGATTCAATTGTTACGTCATGCAAAAGTCATTGTTCATTGCCGGAAATGTAGAGAATATAGGACAGATCGTAGCACATATTCTTGTAGTAAAAGCGTCTTTTCCGTAAAACGTGCAACTTTCGGAATTGGGAACAAGGCAATATTTGTTACTAAATTTTTAAGGAACATTTTAAAATCATTTTTAGGTAGTTTCTGATGTGCGCTACGAAACTCACTTTCTAGGCGTTTTTCAGGGCCTCGACTCGCGGCCTATTTGGTTAATATAATAATTTAATTATATATTGATTGACTACACAGGAGTGTGGCATGAGCACGAGGTCTTTCCTGCCTCCGGTATTGTCATTGACTCCCATTTTTTATATTGTGACGTAATGTTTTGAATTGTTCTTATTTCAATGTCCCACCAAAATTTTCATTCCACGCTCTTCGACCTTCCGGTAGTTTGAAATATTTGTATGATCGATCATTTTTTTTTATATTGGATTTTCACTTCATATTAAAAGAATAAATTGTTATAAATAAATATATAGGGGCGATAAAAATGTATTCAATGAAACGAAAATGTCGATTTGAGTATTTTTTAATCTGGATAAGAAAAAACGTCCTCATATCTGACAACAAAATATTGGCGACATGTTACCTAAAATTGAACATATAAATTTTTAAAACTAAGGGATTATCCCAAGCATCATCTAGAATCTAGATGATAAAACTAATTATCAAAATGGTTTCATCATTATCTGAAGTGCCGGTTGTGAACATCTATTTCAAACAATATCAGTTCTGAAGAGTCCTTATTGGGCGGAATGATCAACGAATTCAATGAGTGCCAAATGTAATATGTGATTAACAAATAACGCGTCCGGGTGTATATCAACTTGACAAAAAAGCTGAAAACAGTGCCTACATATTCAACAATATACCATACAAATATCTACTACACAACTACACAATCAAACTCCATTTTATAAAATGCGAATTTAATTTCTTTTTTCGGTCAATTCAATTGGATTCTTGGTCTTGTCCCATCAAACCTTTTTATGGTCAGGAAAGAAAAGCAGAAATTGATGTCCAGAATATATGACATTTAAAAAATAAATATTCCGTAATATCAATTCGTAAGCGCAAAAATCCCTCCTCACAGTTGACCCACGATGTATCCCTTATGTGCGGATGTTACAAACAACACAAACAGGCAATATGGCAGGTTGTACAATATTTTAATTATAATTTATGAAACTAGTTCTGTATCAACGCATAAAAAATTTCAATTAAGCATTCGTACCAATCGATTACGGTTTGTATGACTATTTAAAAGTATCCCTCTTGACGCGCGACACGTAATCAGAACGTTGCGATGTTTTTGATGACCCTACAACCAATCGTTGTGCACCACGGACGGAGCAGAGAAGAGTGAGTGTATCATATCATAATATTCGTGCACAAAAAATATTAACACAAAGCCCTAACTTCACCGGACTCGAACGAAAGCGATAGTTCACAATTGCAATGTCAGACAAGCAAAGCATTTTGTCAAGTGTTTGTTTTAAAAATCGAAGAGGGTTTAACTTTCGAACAGCTTATAGTAAAATGTTTCAGTATATCAGTCTAATACGGACCAAAGAAAACTAAGTATTGATAAAAAAAATTTATATGTAAATCAAATTTGACAAAATGTTGAGATTGAGACAGCGTAGCAAGTAGTACCGGTTCAAATCCTCAAAATGATTTATTTTATCGACACGAATGAAAATGTTTATAACGATTACGCTCTTTGATTTAAGTTTTGAAATTAATGTTTTAAGAATAAAAATATTCAATGATGAACCGAGGTACGTGGATTTTGATACTGGCTGGGATTTTTATTTTTCAAACAATTAGCATTTGTACAGCCGCTGAGAAAAGTGATGACGAAAAGGAAGTTCCAAAAGATGAGGAAGATAACGAAATTGATGTGCAGGTGAGTAATTTTCAATGTAAACCTTCGAACCTAAGTTGATTTTTCTATAATGGATTGCTCGACATGTACTGATACACATAAACACACACAAATTTAGTTGTAAAATTCAGTTAAGACATAAAAATTTGTAGAGATAAAGCAATTTAAACAACGCACCGAAAAATAGAACTCTAATAAACTATCATATATAAGAGTGGAACGATATTGATATTTAAATCTTTGGTACTATTTACGGCACTCTAATTTTGTTCGCGTACTTTACATCAAGTTGTGTAAAGGGACGGAAGCCATTGGGCAGGGGGTGCACTTGGCTGACACAGACAGTCCCCGAACTCGTAATAGAACTAAAATAAGAAAAATCGGGAAAAAATTCTGGCCTAACCCTAACCTGGTACACACACCACACAACGGGAGTACCCTCTTTGCAGTAGTAACAACGAAAATGAATATTATGAGGTTTTCTCTTTTTTTCCTATAAGGGGCACCAGACAAACAATTATTTCTAGGCATCGATCAGCAAGGCCTAACAAAATTGCTCTCATGCGGATTAAGTTGGTTGATTGACGGACATAAAACAGCATGTAAATCAAGCGTACTTTTAAGTTCATAAACACAGTATTTCAACACTAAAAGATTCTTTTGGTTTCATTTGTTTGCACTATAGAATCAAATAAAACTGCAATAAAGAAAAAGGAGAATACTTGATGCTTCGTTTCTTCTTTACACACTAGTTGATAAAATCTTTGTAATTTTCACATATTCATTACTAGATAGAAGAAGAAAAGGATGAGAAAAAAGAGGAAGATGGAGCAAAGAAGAAAGATGGCGAAGAAAAGAAAGGAGACAAAGAAGACGATGAAGAACTTCCAAAGACAATTCGGATTGTGAATAATTCTTTTTTCGAGTATCTGTACAACCTGATTCTAATAGCATAAAGCAGGGGTGTGCAACCTTTAATACAGGAGGGCCAGATAAAAATAACTGGGTAAAACCGCAGGCCACACCTTAATTTTAAGTAGACTTTCAAATAGTTGCAGGCCATTTTGGTTATTGATCTTGCGACTACGTTGTTCGCTTTGCACAAGCTGGCCGTTAGGGCATTGCACTGTCATAGGCATAGATAATAAATTGGACTCAGGTATAAGCTTTGCAACGCAAAGGGTAAACTAAATCGAAACCTTGTTTCGTGTGTCGCACAACTTTCCCTTGTGGGTCGCATTTGACCCGAGAGCAGCAGGTTGCACACCCCTGGCGTTGAGCAGTAAACGTTTCTCAAATCAACAACATTGTAAAACGCGCGTTTTCCTGCTCCTACAGAGATGATTATTTGAACTATACCTATACTCCATCATGTATAATAATCTGCTCTAAGGGACTTTATCCGGTAAGCAAGAAATGGTTCGATATTTAAAAAGTTTCAAGCCCTTGTTTATTAAGTATTCTGTCGTTACTTTCCACATTTGGTTGTTTTAACTGTTGCAATTGCATTTTCATGTTGAAAAATACACGTTTCAGGGTGACAAAGACATTCCAATCGAAAGAGCTGATCGCACTGTGACTGCTGAAGTTACCATGGAAATTAGTTTCGGAAGTGAATCGATGGGAAACGTTACTTTTGGACTTTTTGGAAGACAATGTCCTAAAACCGTCAGAAATTTTGTCACACTTGCAAATCCAGTTCGACCTAAAGGAGAGGGATACAAAGGAAGCAAAATTCATCGTATCGTTAAAGGTTTCGCGGTCCAAGGTACATCGGTAGACTGTAACACATATCACAGACAGAATCTACGTTTTTTGAGCATAATATCTCATACTGACCACGCAAACCGAATTGGGGCAACTTCAGAGTAAAGCGGGATTGCAAACAGTAACTGTTTTTTTTCCTCGTTGTGTTATTGAAAATGAACATAGGCATCCGTAATTTTATAATTTCGTCCCATTAGTTATCGTGAAAGCTGATTGACCTGTTTTAATTTATTCCTTTTTTGTTCGGTAGTATAGAATATTTCCCTAATTAGGTGGGCTAAGGAAACACGACGATATGTTGACGTGGCTGTGAGGCTATGTCAGTTTTTTTTATATTATTGAGCGATAATGATCAGAAGTGGTTAATACATCCGCCCATGTTTTTTACATTCCAAAAGTCATAAGTGATTCAATAGTCTTGCTGCGCACTAACACAAATATATTTCTGTAACGTTTCGTCTGACTTTGAACCTTATTGAATCACTTAGGATAGTTATCTTTACTCTTGCTACAGCATCCTTGCATTTTGTGCATACAGATCCACCGGCGTAAAAGCACAAATCTAAATTATTTAATTTTGTTTATAAAGTCCCGCTTATAGAGAACGGTTGTCTCTACTCTTTTATCTACAGACAAATTGTATCTTTGTACCGAGTCAATAAACAATGAATATATATATCGGTTCCATTACATTTGAACCCACGTACATTTGAACCCATGACAATTGCACCTGTATGCTATTGCACCTATGGAATTTTTTTTGTTTCACGGATAGTTAAACCCATACTAACCCTAACTCATGGGTTTTAGCACCCGCATATCGATTGAACCCGTGGATATACGCATGGGTTCAAATGTACGTGGGTTCAAATGTACGGTCACCATATATATCACATATACGTCTATTTTTAGGTGGTGACTTCATGAACAATGACGGTAGTGGAGGATGGAGTATCTATGGAAAATACTTCCGCGATGAAAATTTCGCAATCAATCATTTTCCTTTCTGCCTCTCTATGGCTAACTCAGGTATTTTATTGAAATAATGCTAAGATAATTTTGTGGAAGAAGCATTATTACCTTGGAAATAACAACTATTTTATTAAATATGGACACTAATTGCTACTGTTTTTATTTATCTTCCTATTTTTGAAGTTTTTATCATTTTATTATTTAGGGCCAAACACGAATGGTTCTCAGTTTTTTGTTCCGGTGATACGCACTTCATGGTTAGATGGCAAGCACGTCGTTTTTGGCCAAGTTACTTCCGGACATAAATTGATCAAATCCATGAACGATATTCGAGTAAACAGGTATGCTTTCATTCAAAGCAAAGTCAATCAGTGTTGTAACAAAAATGTTTTTTAAAGCCTAAACATTACAAATAAGATTGCCTGTATTATTGCATTTCTTTGTGCATGTTGGTGGAATAAAGTCGGTGACTTTCAGAGAATTATCCAAAAAAAATCGTTCTCTAAATAAATGAAACTGATCTTTTTTAGGAACTAGCGTTTATTTCTGTAGAATTTCATAAATATAGTAGCAACATAAAAATAGTTCATCGGTTGAGCGCTGAAATGAAATTATTTTCGATGATAATTTTTGAATTTTACAGATTCGGACGACCGTATCGACAAGTATGGGTATCAGATACATGGACCAAATTTATGAAAGTCGGTCCCGCTAAGTCGGAGTTGTAAATTGACTCAAAAGTATTAGAGCAGCCGTGTAGAAGAATGAAAAAAACTGTCATTTGAAGCAATTTTGTTTGAATACAATCAAAACTATTTTAGTTTGAACACAATGAAGCAAGCAATTAAATTCTCTAAACCACGTAAAACTTGGTTTTAGATGTATTAGAAATTTTTGTGTATCAAATTATAACAATAAAAAAAATATGCGTTAACGTCTTTGAAAATATAGAAAAGTAGAAAGAGTTATCAAACAGAGAGTTGGGTTTATGGCAGATATGATCAGTATAAATAAATTTTAGAATGGTGTGAACGATTTAGTTGTAAATTTAAACCCTTAATTGGTCCGCATTTGAGTTGATTGCCTCTTTCAAATGTAGTTATTTGAGCCTCAGTCGATATACATATACTAAGTTCTTACTGTATTTGAACCTGAAGCGTTTAGAGTGGAAAGAAAAAATACCAATACCACATATATATCATGAATTCAACAAATGTTTTCCTATTTTCACTAATGACACGCAAAATTTAATTGGATTTTTTTCTCAAGAGTTCCAGGACACCGCAGAAAATCAAAGAACACGTGATTTGGTATTTGTAAGCCGTGCCTGAATTCACAAAAGCCCCAAAAAGCTGTAAAAAAGACAAAAATTTATTATATATCACAATATTAATTGTTGTAAAGGGTTTTCGTGAGGTTGTATTGAGTGTATACACATTGATACAACATGACTAACATTCGATCTTGAGATTTCGGAAGTGAGTAAGTCCGGTTTTTAAAATGAAATAAAATATCAAATCTCTTAACAACCTAAACCTCTTACCATGTACCAATTAAATATAAATGAAAAAAATTCAATTCAATAAAACATGCGTTTATTGCATCATGTTTTTAATTACTAGTGTCGCGAAAAGGATTCTAATAATCAAACTGCGCTTATGTTGTTTTGAAATAGATATCATTTGGTCATTCATCCTTAATCTACTTTAAAGGGGATCGTTTATTTTAAAAAATCTAAACGGGTTTGTTCAAGTTTTTATTATCTATTTATATAAAATTATTTCTGTACTTGGACCCCTTTTTCAATAATAAAAAATAAGGTTCATGCAAAAATGTGTAAACGTATCATTCGAGGCATTGATGCCTTATAGAGTTTCAAGAAATTCTGACTCGAAGACCAAGAATTCGAAGGGAATATCGCAACATGCCCTCTCGTTTTTGCAAGTCATCTAGTAGAGTATATTATTTCGATGATCTGACTGACCGACACAAAGTATCTCAAATTATAAAGATGGTAACACAAACCTCCATCTGATCAACCATTATCACCGGTTTCCCAGTAGGTAGTTTGGATGAGATCTGTCATGTAAGCGTGAATTATATATGATTCATATATTACTAAATGTTGTAATTTGCCTAAAATCTTGACACTTTAGTCTATCAAACATTTTCTTCTCGAATTATTTTTCCACTGGGAAATTTAAGTCGCAACTTAAGTCGTGGTTTAATCTTTCAAGAGTCTTAAATATACCTTATAGCACAAAGCACGATTTCATAGGACATGGTGTTTCGTTTCCCAACTAGAAGTATCAAAATATTTTTCATATGAAAAAGCATCCAGTTGACAAGTAGAGAGCACAATAACAGTACTGCGAGCATAGTGTCTCCGCGTTCGATATTGGATTCGTTTAGTATATAGACAATGACATCAAACCTTTTTATTCCAATTACTAAATTAATATCGTTAACTCCATAAGTCATTTTTATTTTTGTACATCTTCTAGTATCTGAGTGGCTGTTGTCTTGATTCGTTCAGAGGAGTATCTAACTCAACATATATATGAGATATATCGTAATTCTAGGCCATACTAATAGATTTAAAAATTATGAACCATAAATCGTTTTGATATATTCTTGTTTTCCCAAGAAAGCTGGTTTGGTGTAGTTGGGTATTTGTAACTTTATTACGCTTAACAGTATAAGAAATACCAAATGTCATTAGTAGGGCTGGGCATTTCGAATCGAATATTCGAATCGAATAGTAAATTATTCGAATCGATTCAGAGCTAAATTTCGAATCGCCGCCATCTTGTTTTTATCTTTCCGCTAATGGTCGAGGTGAATTCCCCAATTTTATTTTCATTGGAGTCATATCTTTTCAACGAAATTCTAACATATGACTATTTTCTGTAGTGAGTTATTGATAAAACGTGTTTGTTATTCTGTGTGAGCGCTCAGTAATCTATCTGGGTGATTTATTCTATCTCTTCGGTAATTCATTTGTTGAGAGGACCAATTACTATAATAAAATCGCTTACAATTATATATTTTCAAGTATTCGAGATTCGATTCGATTCGAAAAATATTATTCGATTCGATTCTGAAATCACAAGGTATTCGAAAATGCCCAGCCCTAGTCATTAGTTTATAAACAAAATACTGTTGCTCGCAATTTTATTAAAAATTTAGAATATTAGATGCGATAGTCGATCTAATAGCGATTTTTTGAGGTAAAGTTAATTAGAAGTGATGACGTTTATTGTCTTTATTTTTCAATGGCATGCTTAAATTATTTAGTATAAACGTAGAAGACAAAATGAAGATCAAAGCACTATCAATAAGGTTTGTAAAATTTAGAATATATTTTTATCTACTTTAATTTACATTTTTCACTTTAAAAATAATTTAATGGGCTTAATTAAAGAATGGCAAAATCAAATATCTCGCACTATTTTTGCCAATGTAGTTTTTCATGAAATGCGGATTTTTTAAAAAAATTATCAAGCAGTGTTGAGACGAATCAAGCATTGATACAAAAGGAAACTTTGAGACTGAGATAATCGTATTTTTTAATTTCAATATTACATTGATGGTCATTTTAATTCGTGGTAAGATGCTTTCCAGACGTTGCTATCCAACGGAGTTATGATATTTGTGTCTCTAGTTTGTGTACTAGTTTATTCTGAAATGAAAATATTTGTACAATCTACAGCCTTCAATTTTGTTTTCAAATATTTATTTATAGTTTTAACTCATATTACAGATTCATTTTGGGAGCAATTTTATTTTTGACTGCAATTTCTATACCAGGCATATCAGCAAAAAAGAACTCGCAAATGACAAAAAAAAGGTATTGATTATTTTGAGAGTGTAATCCCGACAAATTGCAATCACAGAAGCTCTGTAGTCAAGATCAGTGGTTCTCAACTATTTTTAGCCCACTTTAGTTGCAAATAAATTCTGTGAACCATCAACTTTCTCATGCAAGGGAAAAACTACAAAAAAAACGTAAAAACTATTTTTGCAAAAATAGACACTTTTTTAGTAAAAATGAAAATTATCACTCAGTTCCAAAATCAACATAATTCATTGCTACTTCAAGTTATACCAATTTATCAATGGCTCAAGCAATTTTTAATATTTTTATGGCCCATCTAAAAATGGTCTGTGGCCAAGCAGTGGGCCCACTTGTTGAGAAACGGTGGTCTAGATTTAGAGTTCTGACAGCAGGCTATCAATTTAAGATAACCTATTTGGTTATGGAATAAACACTCGAAAATTTGCATTTTTTAACTTATCTTTCCGTCAATTCCATCCGTAAATATAACGTATTAATATTTTACACGTCCGTGATGTTTCGAGATTATGTTTTAATGTCAGACAAAAATATTTATGGTAACTTTTAGTTTTATGGACTTTGTATTGGATAGTATTTTAATTATAAGCATATGGGCATATATGATAGGTATAAGTGTCAAGAAATATCATTATCCTATACTGCGTTCCCGTTTGTGGGATTAAGAAAAAAAGCAGTATTTTGAAGATCATTTCTAACACGACTATGCTCCCAAACTATTCATGAATAATTTTGTGCAAACGGGAATTTTTGATTCTCGAATAGTATCGCTGAATGTTGTAGAACTCGTATTGTCGTGTTAAAAAAGCTAGAATGACATTTCGGCCTTTTCTCCCTGATATTTTTTATGATCCTTCTGCTAAACGTAGACGTGAGTGGTCCGTATAAAGCAGCATTACAAACAATTTTGCCAAACAACTATTTCCTACTGAGAATTGTTATCAAGATACTATCCGATCCTAGTTACAGCAATTTTAAGTTCATGTAACAAGACAAGCTCGTTTTTACGCGGTAGTTTCTGATGCCATTAAGATAAGCAGCACTTTTGGGAAGAAAATAGGTCGTGAAAAATGCGAACTAGATATGGATTGGTAATAATACACCACCCATACAGCGGGAAGGAAGGCTGACACACTAAAAATACATAACCTCTACAAACTATCTGCAAATACCAACATTAGCACTAAATTGAAGAATTACATAAACAATTCCTTAAATGCGTTAATAGACTACAACTCGCATTGTAATCGTTGCTGGAATGCTATTTGTCCAAATACTACATGCCAGATTTTGCGTGACTCATCAAACTTTCATATATATAATTTAAGTTGGTTTTTTCACTGTTTTTATTCCGTCGTTCCGTATCTCTAATTTTAACGTCATTTACGTCGTTTATGATAAATAAATATACGCATCGATCAAGAACTTTACTAGTTTTATCATAGACTTGACAGCAGACTTTTGCGGAAGCGTATTCTCGGCACACACCGGAGTCCCAGAGTCCCAGCCTTGCACCCTATATTCCGCCATTTATTTTAGTCGTACTTGGACCAGTCGTTGTGTAACTCTAACATACCATGAGCGGTATAAAACTCACTTCTTTATAAAAGCATCTATAGTTACGCTACGTCACACAGATGCACAGCAAAAACACAAAATTTCTTATCACGTGGTAGAATCTGACATTAGCCTACGGGAAAAGTCTAAGGTGCAATCTTAGATCATTTTACGATAATTATTTATTATGATGAAGTATAATAGAGGCTAAATCCCACATAAATACATATTTTGAATAATTGGCGGATGTAACAACGAGTTCAAACGTTTTACCTCATTCGAATGTTGAATTTCAGCACTAATTCAAATTATATCGTGGGTGCAACAGTGTACTTTTAAATGTCACTAAAAAGTATAGATTTTAAGCCGTGCTCGGTTATTTCGACAATACTAACCACAAATTTCAGCAACAGTTTCAATTTTAATCACCAGCATGATAGTCAGTAGAATTTTTCAAAATTGGGTTTACTATAAAAGCAAATGTGGTATCATATAAA